TTTGGATCTGTGACACGTTTCTGTTCTTAGTCCTTCTCTTGTACAAATGATGTACTTTGAAAATGTTAGTGTATAACAGAATCGATGTTTGTTTCTGTTTGATTTTAAACAGAAAATAAAAGGGGTTACAGCTCCTTTTTCTTTCCCTTTTTTTCATTTCAAAGTTGCTACCAGTGTATTGATGGACAACGGAGGGACATACTGTAGAGTGTTCTATTGCCTAGTTGACAAAGCTGCTTTTGAATGCTGGTGGTTCTACTCCTTTGACACTACGCACTTTTACAATATGTGTTAATGCTATATTACAAAATGCTCTGATTCCTAGTGCCAAAGGTTCAATTCAGTGTATATAACTGATCACACTCATCCATTTGTACTTCTCTTTTTTTTATTGGTGCTTACAGTAAAGAGCTTATCCTTTGCAAGTCATCCACATTGTTCCTTAGGCATTTTATCTTTGCTCAGATTGTTGAAGAGTGGTGGCTTGTTTATGGTTTTTGTATTTTTGTCTAATGCACGTTTTAACATGATAGACGCAAGGAATTGTTTTTCAGATCTTCAATAAATTTTTTTCTTTAAATTTAAAAAAAGAAAAAAAAAGAAAGTATCACTCTATTTTAATCATCTCTTTACTTATCTGTCTCCCAACCAGACTGTGAATTCCTTGTGTGCAGGGATAAAATCTTTTTTCCCTATATCTAGTCACTAGGATAGTGTCTGACACAGAGGAAATATTTAGTAAGTAAGAAAATATAAACATATATCTGACCATCAGTTAAGTATCCAACCTCTGAACCTATGTTTTAATACAAGCAGCAGGAGAATTCTCTCAGTTTACTAATTAACTGGCTGTGGGAATTGGACCCAACTCCTATTTCCTTACTTGTAAAAAAGGTGGTGGCACAGGTGATTTCTAAGACCTCTTTTATCTTTAAATTCTGGAACTTGATTACTTAGTAAAAAGAGCTCACCTGAAAGTGTTTGTCTAGATCTGGGCAGCAAACTACAGCCCAAGGGCAATTTCTCAGACTAAGCCTGTTTTTTCGTAAATAAATTTTATGAAACACAGTCACACCCATTTGTTTACATATCTTACACGCTACAACAGCAAAGTTGAAGAGTTGCAACAGAGAATATAGGCACACAAAGCCAAAAACAATTACTATCTGGCCCTTTACAGAAAAAAATTTCAGAACTTTTTAAATATATATTTTTGAACTCTTCTGAATTTTATATATCTTTAGAAGACATTCTTGAGTTAGCAATAATCATACTGAAAAGAATCAGATAACCATCACATAAGGGGCTCAGAGACATCTTAAGTATTAGTACATTTAGAAGGTAAGGCTGAGACAGGCTAGTAAGTCAGGACAAGTGTAATTAGGGAAACTGAGACAGATAATTAAAGAGCAGTTTGCAGCGACCTTGAAAATCTAGATGCCAAGCAGTTCGCAGCCACCTACTAAATCCTATCTTCCCTAAACCAAGGACACTTAAGAGCAAATGGTTTGCACTTCTCCTCCCCTACCAGAGGGAAAATAGCTTAAATTACCCTACTCGGGGAAACAGATAGCAGAAATCCAATTAGTGCCATTTGCCAACCACATCCAAGGACAGATAAAGAGAATAAATCTCATCTTGGTACAGCAGTATAAAGCTGATGAATATTCTATTGAGATCCTCCCCTAAACTCTCAAAAGAAGGTTCTCTGCCCCTTCTCTCCCCACAGGCATGCATCTCCTAAACACTAAGGACCCCCAGGAGGCTTGCAACCATGGCAGCAATGGGCAGTAGCAGTTCATCTGGGGCAAATCCCTTGAACCTGCCCCCAATGCCCCTTTTTCTCTGACTTCTTAGTGAGCCAAACCAGACGAGCTTAGGCTCATTTCCCCAGCCCTTTCTTGTTTCACTGTCCTCAGCTTTAATAAACATCCTCTAAAATTCACAGGAACTTAAGTTGTGAAATTTTTCCTGCACAAAGTCAAAAACCCATGCACTACCCCTGGCCCTAGGCAGACCCTTTCTGGTAACAAGATTATTAAACTTGTAGTTCAATTTCCAACTCTGATACTAACTACATGACCTTAGGTAAGTCACCTAATCATAAGTTCTGCTTATATCTGTAGATGGAAAAGGGGTTCTACATTAAGTAACTTCCCAAGTGATTTGATAATAAATTCCTAAATGGTCAGGTCACGGTGGGAAGCAATGCCCCAGGCATATAACTTTTTAGTAAAAGGTTTATCTTTGCCTTAAGCAAGCCCTGTCTACTGTTTCTGTGCACCTAGTTAACACACCTTTGGAATAAGCCTAACCACCCTTAAGAGAGCACAAAATCTTAACTATCCTGTAATCCAATCCCTGCCTTGCTTTCTCCCACCTTCATGTAATCTTCCTTAGTTCCCTCCTTAATTCCAAATGCATAAAAGAAACTGCAAAAACTGTCATTCTCTAAAGCATTTGAGCTCTTGCTTCGAAGTAACTGTTGTCAGTTTTGGCTCAAACAAACTCTCATAAAAACTCTCTACAGGCTTGGATGTTTCTTATGTCAACATATCCTTAGACAAGTTACTAAGCCTCTCTGTACTTCACTCATCTATAATATGGGGACAATACGCATTTATCTTAGAGATGACTTGGTATCTCTAGAACAATTATAAGTACAGAGTAGATAATTATTATTTTTATGGCATAATATATAAAATCTTTATCTAAACATGTATAACTCAAGGAAAGGCAAATTATGCAAGTTATATCAAATTTAAGTAAGAGTCTACCTAAGTTGGCTATAGGGTATTGATATCACAAAAGTTAATAAACATTATTATAACTTCCCAGAGATTGTACTCTACATTAAGGTCACAAATATTATAATCTTCTACATTATTACAATCTCTCAGTAATATTAACAGAATTGGTTATATAACTTCATTTGCTATGAGGCCAATATGAATTTTAAAATATATCAAATAACTAAATTTTAAAGTTAAATACTTACATGCAGTACACAAACATACAACAGCTGTAAATCATTGGGAGTTCATCCAATAGCTATAAGAAACAAAGACAGATAAGAGGATAGAGTTACAATTATTATGCAAATAAAAATAAAACTTCATAATTAAAATGGTCACCTCATTACCTAATATTTTATTCTTTTATATATTTATTATCTAATTTACCCCGAGTGTGTTTATTTTAATTGTTTCTGAACAAACAAGCTCATCTATCCATCAACCTGTCCTAATGTACATATCTAAGTAGAATGCAGGACTCACTGGGCAGCTTGAATCATCTTGTATCACAAACTATAACATCATACTTCCAGAAAAGAATGATGTCCACCATCTAGAGGTCTGTGGGTTCTATCAGTATTTGCATTTCTGCTCTTTTCTATAGCACTTAAGATGGATAAAATGTCCACTAATATATATAAGAAGAGGTATTAATTGTCAGAGAAGTCATTTAGTTAAACTAAGCAACCTATGTCTCTGAAAAATATTATTATTAGCAATAATAATTATAGCTTAGTATTAAATTACAAGCGAGACACTAAGCTAAGTGTTATAGATAGGTTATTGCTAATCCTTAAATCAATCCTATGTGTGGAGAGTGCTATGAAGGGACAAAGCATAGATGTGGGAGGACTAGCCAAGAGGTTACAGCAGTCCAGGCTAAGGAAAGTTGCAACTTGGATTAGGGTAGCAGAATTGGGAATAGACTTGAGAAATGTTTAGGAAGTGAAATAAACAGGGATTTGTTATTGATTTGATAAAAAAGTGAGGGAGAAGAAACTGCTAAGAATGATTCCCCAGTGTTTTGCCTAAACACTTCAGATGATGGTAGTACAGTTTACTGAGATTGTGAAAACAGAAAATTAAAAGAACAATTTTCAACATATTGAGTTTGAGGTACCTGTGAGACAGCCAGGTGAAAATATCAATCAGGCGATGAGAAATACAAATCTGTAGCTGAAAAGAAAGGTCTAGACTCCAGATGTTGGCTACTTTTTATTTGTCTAAAGAACTAAATAAAACTGAGCATATGTTAAAAGAGCACAGATGTTAAAATCTGGGTGATACAAATAGAAGTCTTATTTCAAAACCATAACTAGCAAAATTATTACTGGTAAAAGGGCACAGAGTTCCAGAGTGGAGTGAGGTGTGGATCTGAAGATGAGTCTTGAGAGGTAGGAAGGGGCTAGATCACAAAGCCCATGGTTCAAATTTATGAGTTTGAACTATAAAAAGTGGTATGCTGGGAGAGCAGGGACAGCATTTTATGCATCTCATGCACTTGTACAAAGCTTAGCAAATATTGTTCAAAGAATGAAAACAATTAGTTTTGTTGTAGGAAGAGTACTTCTGTTCCAGTATGACAAATGGATAGGTGAGGCAGAAACACCCAAGGCAGCTTTGCCATCTATTGGCTCAGACAATTCTTCCCTATGTTGAGCAAAATGTCTCTTTATCTTTAATGTCCCTAGGACCACACAGAATAAACTAAGAGTCAACATGTCAACCCTTAAACACTGATTCATAAAACATTTATGGTGTCCTATGTGACAGCCCCATGATATAAATAGAGATGCACCAAGGTCAACCAGTGAGAGTCCCCCCTTTTTTTTTTTTTGAGAGTTCCTGCTCTTAGGTAACTCACATTCTGATAGAGAAATCAGACACATAAATATATTTATGAAACAACATTGATAAGAGCAGTAATAAGAGATTCGTAGAATGTCATGGAAGAACATATGAAGGGTACGTATCCTGCCCCAGGGCCATGGACTGCTTCCTGGAGGGGCTGCCAGCTTGCCTGAGATCTTAAAGAACAAACAGGAATTGTCCATGGGAGAGAGGGAAATATAACAGGGCCAGACATGAACAAATGCATAGACCAGAGAATCTGGTGTTTAGAACTGACTGTGGGTAACTGAGCATACCTTTTCTTCTTCTGGCTAAATATAGTCATGCACTACATAATGACATTTCATTCAATCATGGAAAAATATACGACAGTGGACCCATAAGATTATAATAAAATATTAAAAATTCTTATCACTTAGTGATGTTGTGGCCAAAGTAATGTCTTAGCACACGCATTACTCACATGCTTGTGGTGATGCTGGTGTAAACAAACCTATTGCACTGCCAGCCATATAAAAGTATAACACATACAATTGCAGTAGTAGGCTATACCATCTAGGTTTATAGAAGTACACTCTATGATGTCTGCACAACAATGAAATTGTCTAACAACACATTTCTCAGAACATAGTCTGATGTTAAGCAGCGCATGACTGTATTCCCAGTTCCTTCCCCTTAGGCATCATAACTAGGTTTTTAGGTCACCATTCTGGTATCTTTCATTTGAACACATGCTAGGTTAGTCCTCAGAACTGAATGCAATATCCTTGTCGTGATCAGATCAACACATAGCAGGAAAGGGTCTCCCTTCCCTCACTCAGATGCCCAGTCTTGCGTAACATCTTGTCTCTGCACATTCATCCAGTTGTTTCTTCATATATATATGGGACAGATAAATAAATAAATAAATAAAATGGGCTTCAGCAAAACTGAAAACTTTTTGCTTCATAGAATGCTATTAAGAAAATGAGCCCAGCCGGCATGGTTCAGAGGTTGAGCATTGACCTATGATCCAGGAGATCAAGGTCTGAATCCCGGTCAGGGCTCATGCCCAGGTTGCGAGCTCGATCCCCAGTCGGGAGCGTGCAGGAGGAAGCCAGTCAATGACTCTCTCTCATCATTCATGTTTCTGTCTCTCCCTCTCCCTCTGCCTTCCTCTCTCTGAATCAATAAAAAATATTAAATAAAAAAAAAGAAAAGAAAAAAACCCTGACAGAATGGACGAAAGTATTCACAAACCATATATTTGATAAGAGTTTAGTATCCAGAACAGATAAAGACTCTTACAACTCAATGATAAAAAGGAAAATAACCCAATTTAAAAATGAGCAAAGGATCTGAACAGATATTTCTCTTAAGAAAATATACAGATGATCAATAAGTAAATGAAAAGATGCTTAATATCATTAGTCGTTAGGAAATGCAAACCAAAACCACAGTGAGATACCACTTCACACCCATGAGGATGGATATAATCAAAAGGACAGACAGTAAAAGTATTGGCAAGGATGTGAATAAATGGTTGGTGGGAATGTAAATGGTGCAGCCACTTTGAAAAGCCATCTGGCAGCTCCTCAAAAGATTAAGCATAGTGTTACCATGTGACCGACCTAGCAATTCCACTGCTAAGTATACACAAAGGAAAACTGAAAACATATATCCACAAAAACTTGTACATGAATGTTTATAGCAACATTATGCATGAAAGCTAAAAAATGAAAATAACCCAAGTGTCCATTAGTTGATAAATGGATATGGAAAATGTGGTATATCCAGACAATGGAATATTATTTGGCCTATCTAAAAGAAGATACACACAAAAGGCCACATATTGTATGATTCATTGTGATGAAATGTTCAAAATAGACAAATCCATGGTTGTCAGGGGACAGATAGGTGGAGGGAGTAGTAAGGAGTGATTGCTAGTGGGGTTTCTCTTTGGGGTGATAAAAATACCCTGAAATTAGATTCTGTTTGAATGTCTTTAACTTTTATAGATTCTTTCCAAGCTCTCTGTTGCCATAAATTATTTGCACTTCTTTAAAAACAGTTTTAGCTTAGCCTGTTTGACACAGCGGTTAGAGTTTTGGCCCATGGACTGAAAGGTCCCAGGTTCGATTCCGGCCAAGGGCACGTACCTCAGTTGCAGGCTCAATTCCCAGCCCTGGTCAGGGCACATGCAGGAGGCAACCAATGAATGTGTCTCTCTCACATCGATGTTTCTCTCTCCCCCATCCCTCCTCCACTCTCTCTGAAAAGCAATGGAAAAAATATCCTCGGGTGAGGAGTAAAAATAAATGAATGAATGAATGAATGGTTTTAATATTATATCATATTTTCCCAGCCAGAAAGTGTAAGAAGTGTTTTCTAGGCTTGATTAGGTCAGACCAGTGTCTCATCTTTTGCATATTCTCCAAGTCAAGCATGGCATGCACAGCACACATGACACTTTCTTATAGATATGTGTTGAATATTAGAATGAATTCTAAGAACTAACTCTTATACATTTAATATAGCTATAATTAATAATTTATAGACTGTTGTAGATAAAGATCCTTCCAGAATTAACACTATCCAATACAGTAGCCACTAGCCTTGTGTGGCTACTGAGCACTCAAAATAAACCTAATTTAAGTGAAGAACTACTGCAAGTATGAAATATATGTATGATTTCAGAATATGAAGCATTTCATTAATACATTATTATATTAATTACAGGTTGAAGTAATACTTTGGAAATATTGGGTTAAATAAAATATATTATTAAAATTTATTTCACCTATTTTTTAATGTGGTTTTTATTAATGTGGCTACTCAAAAATTTTAAATTACCTATGTAGTTCACATTATATTTCTACTGGACAGTGCTGTTCTAGAAGTTTCTAGGTTAGTGATGGAGAAAAGAGAGGTCAAAAGATTGAGGACTAGATATATGGCGTCCTTAGAGCAAGGGCAGTAAATAAAAAACCTTGCATAGCTCTAAAACCTTGCTAGCCAGAGGGACCAGACGATTAAAATGGACTCTGTTGAGAGAGAGACATGAGGGAATGCAGGCATATAAGAATAAAAATATATTATTTTGATGAACTGATTATGCCTTTTTAAGATGTCTCCATGGGACTCTACTTTTTTTTTCTTTCCCTTAATTCTCACCCGAGGACATTTTCCCCCCCATTTCCTTTCAGAGAGAGTGGAAGGGGGAGAGAGAGAGAAACATCGATATGAGAGACACAAATTGATTGGTTGCCTCCCGAACGCACTTCTACTGGGGCCGGGGATTGAGCCTGCAACCGAGGTATATGCCCTTGGCTGGAATCAAACACAGGACCCTTCGGTCCACAGGCAATGCTTTAACCACTGAACCAAACTGGCTAGAGCAGGACTCTACTCTTTAATCTTGCTCTAAAATTGTACATATCCACACAGAGGTGGTCCAAAAGTTATACTCTTCACTTGTCATGGACAACTTAGTTGCTTGCCTCTTTACTTCACTTAGTCTATCTGGATCCTTTGGCCTGAAGTAAAAATTTGAGAGATCACTAATCTCAGTTTTACGCCCCAGTCTCTTATCTCAGCAATCCTCTAGTAACATGCTCTTTTCTTAAATCTGAAGTGTCTCTGGATTAGAAGAAATAAACATTTAGTCAATTTTGTCATTACTGACCTGCATTTCATATTTCAGAGTCATGTGGAAGCACCAGGATCCCATTCCTACCACTGAAATTAAAACAAACAAAACAATTAGCATTAAATTCTTTGGAGATGGCCAGAGTGACTTAAGAAGACAATAAGACATTTCAAAGCACTGAGTTTTAAGAAGAACAAAGTTTGTGAAATCTTGTGGCAGAATATAACAGACTGAATAACTCTATAATTAATGAAATTTTGGTATAGAAAAAAACAAATACAGTGTAAGTTCTCTTAAATTCCCTCCAGAACATGACTTATTAATCAATATTATCTATTCTTTCTATAAAATATATTACCTGATGCTCAGGGTAAGCTTTAATGCCATAGCGGGTTAGCTACTCTTCAATACTTCCTTGCATTTCTGATTCAAATAGCTGAAATGTATGCTTACTATGAGCTAGTCGGTTATGTTTATTCCCAAACCTGTTAATGCCACTGTATTTAGTTATCAGAACTATGACTGCCATAAGAGAGCTTCTTTTTCTACAAACACTATTTTAAATGCTTAAAATACACTCAATAAAAGTGAGTTGCTAATAAAAATTGCTATTGAATTAGGTGTGGATATGTTTCTGATGAGGAAAAATAATAAAAATCTAAAGATTCTGTAATCATGTCTCAAAGTTCTTCCCTGCTTTCATTTTAGGGCTTTAAAAATTTGTTGTTTGGCCCAGCCGGCATGACTCAGGTTGAGCATCGACCTATGATCTAGGAGATTGAGGTTCACTTCCTGGTCAGGGCACATGCCTGAGTTGTGGGCTTAATCCCCAGTAAGGGGCGTGCAGGAGGCAGCCGATCAATGGCTCTCATCATTGATGTTTCTATCTTTCTCTCTCCCTCTCCCTTCCTCTCTCTGAAATCAATAAAGACATATTTTTTAAAAATCTTAAAAATTTGTTGTTTTTTAATCTAAGAAAGACTAAATAGAACTATAATTAGAATCCCATATTCAAAGGCCATGCCCTATAACAAATAATTGTCAAAGATCATACTACTATGTGCTAATTAAAATAAATCTTTTACTTAATTTAAATTATATGCTTTGACTTTTTAAAAATCAACTGACCAAATATCAGTCCCTATCACATCTGATAATTGGGCTTCTAGTATGATTTGTTAAGTTCAGTTCAACAAGCATTTACTGAGCACTTTCTATTTGCCAAAGTCAGTTACAGATGCTGAGGTTCCAAGATAAGGTCTACTCCTTGTCCTTAATGAAGCAGATAGTCTAATGGAAGACACAGGCTGATAAATAGAAGACACCAGTACATGGAGATATGATAAGGAGATATTCATAGAATACCATGGGAGCACAGAAGAGGGGCACTTACGAAGGAAGTCAGAGAATGCAAGAATGATGCCATAGGAGTTAGCCCAACAAGCACGGTAAATGGGGGTGTCACCAAGTACTTTGCACAAAACCACTTGAGAAAAATCTCAAACTCTTTGTTACCCTTGCTTTTTTTTTTTTTTAAACAAAACCAACTAGATACATGATTACATTATTTTTTACTGCTCAAAATAAGATGAGAAAAGTAAAACATTATTGCACTTGTTTTACTAAAGAAATGAAGAAGCAGGATGGTTGTGTCTTTTTTCAAAAGGAGAATTTAGAAGGTGCAAAGGTAGATAAATTAATGGAAGGGGAAAAAAATAAACCCTGTTAGTTATTTCAAGTCACATAATATAGTCATGAAGTAAAAAAAGGAAAATGAAGTGGCATGGCTATTCATCCTGAAAGGGAGACAAGCTACTTCAATCATGCCTCACTCAAGGAACAATTTTATCCAAACCCTTTCAAATGTTCTCTTGGTACTGCTTATATAGAGAGCATTAAAAGTCTGATATTTTTTAGAGCTCTTTACAATTTATTTATTTTCAACATATCTATTTAGAATGCAAAGAAATATAATAGAACAGCATCACCTTTGTCCACACAATATTTTATATTTTGCCACTTTAAAGCAAATCACCTGTCACATCTTTTTTTTTTTAATTGATTTTTAGAGAGAGAAAGGAGGGAGGAGGCAGAGAGAGAGGGAGAGAGAGAGAGAGACATCGATTTGTTGTTCCACTTAATTATGCATTCATTGTTGATTCTTGTATGTGCCTGACTGGAGATCAAACCCACCACCTTGGCATATCGGGATGACGTGCCAACCAACGGAGCTACTCAGCCAGAGTAAAACAAACCACCAATAATTACTAAACTTTATCAGCTTGATGGAGAGACAATTCAAAATTAATTTATTTAAAGTACACAATTTGGTTGTTGTATGTTCATAAAGTTGTGCAACCACCATCACCTAATTTTAGAACATTTTCATCACCCCAAAGAGAAACCTAATACCTATTAGTAGTCACCCTATTTCTCTTGAAATCTCCCATCTCCTCGTTCCTAGATAACCTTTAATTTATTTTCTGTCTCTACAGATTTGCCTGATCTGGACTTTTTATATAAATTGAATCATACAATATGTAGTCTTTTCTGTCTACTTTCTTTCGCTTAGCATAATATTTCCAAGGTTCACTCCTACTATATATAGCACATATCAAGAACTCATTCCTTTTATGGATGAATAGGATTCCACTGCATGGACATACTACATTTTATTTATCCATTCACTAATTTATGGACATTGTTATAAATTGTGTGTTTGTGTCCCTACAATTTCATATGTTGAAGCTCTAACATCCAACATGATAGAGTTTGGATGTGGGGCCTTTGGGAGGTAATTAGGTTTAGGTGAGGTCATGAGGGTGGGGCTCCATAATGGGATTAGTGTCCTTACAAGAAGAGGAAGAGACAGGACCCCCACTCTCTCTCTCTGCCTACATGCAACAAAAAACAGGCAATGAAGACACAGGGAGAAGGTGGTTAACTGCAAAGTAAGAAGAGGGCTCTGAACAGAAACTGACCAGCACCTTAATCTTGGACTTCCCAGCCTCCAGAACCATGAGAAATAAGACTGAGGTATCAAAGTTAAAATAAAATTCACATTTGTAGAAATTATCCAAAGCATTCCAAAAAACAAGTAACAGGGACAAGTTTCCCTACATGGCCATGGCTAAAGTGAAAACTGAGGCAGTCAAAATAGTAATGGAATTGGAATAAAGAGGTCAATGTTCCATCTGCATCTTCTAATTAAATGTTCATATTCACAGCACTTTACTACAGTTTTAAGAGTTTCTCAAGTGTATAACAGAATTTCACTAAGTTGGAACCTCTTGATTCAAATACTTTGGCATGCTACCAGTTCAAGGTTTTCAAGGTTACAATAGAATAAAGATATGTTCTGATATACATTTATTTTGATCCATTTGACTAACCATACTGTGGAGAGTGTACAAGGGCTTTGGAATCAGACCTTAAGTAGAATCTCAGGTCTATCATTTATTACTTATCAACTTGAGCAAGTTGCTTAAATCTCTTTGAGACTCAGCTGCCTCAGCTATAAAGATAACAATGTTTATCATGAAAGTTTGCTTGAGGATTACCTAGCATGCACCTGGCATACAATATGTATCAACAAATTTTATTTTCTAGTCCCTAACTCAAGCTATGAAACAATTCATGTACATAGACAATGGAATCATTAGATTTGGGAAGTAGGTAGCTTATTTGCCATGACACAAAATTAAAGGCCCAAGCAATACTGAGTTCCTTTTATTTATTTATTTATTTATTTATTTATTTATTTATTTATTTATTTATTTATTTATTTATTTATTTTTAAATATATTTTTATTGATTTCAGAGACAGGAAGGGAGAGGGGGAGATAGAAATATCAATGATGAGAGAGAGTCATTGATCGGCTGCCTCCTGCATGGCACCTGCTGGGGATGGAGCCTGCGACCTGGGCATGTGCTCTGACCAGGAATCGAACCACGATCTCCTGGATCATAGGTAAATGCTCAACAGCTGCGCCATCCCAGCCAGGCATGAGTTCCTTTTGAATCACATCGTGATTTACCATAATGCATAAGAAGGGACCCAGAATAGAGGAAAAAGGAAAAGGGCAAATTAACTATAAAGTATCAAAGGAATTAACAGTATAATGTGTGACTGTTATAAAATCTATGAAAGCAGGTAGAATTTTTAGTGTTATTGGTGGTGTCAAAACAATGCCAGCTACAATTATAGGGCATGAAGAATTGCACTTTCCAGTTGAAGTTAGCATTCACATTAGAAACAAAATACACTATAACATCAGAGACGCAGTAGAGTGCAATGATTAAAAAGCATGAGCTTCGGAGAGTTGTCCTAAGAAGTTTGGGCTTTATGCCTAAACTGACAATGTGGAATAAATGGAACTCTCAGATATTGCTGATGGGAGTGTAAAATGGTCCAACCATTTCAGAAAATTGTTTGGCAGTTTCTAATAAATTTAAACACATACTACCCTACAACATAGCAAATCTATTCCTAGACATATACCCAAAAAATGAGTGCATATGTCCATCAAAAGACATATACAAAAATATCCATATAGAATCTTCATTCATAATTGGATCCCCTGAAAAAAATAGCAAAACAATGAAACAGAACTCATATTTAAAACTATAATTCAAGAAGACTTTTTGAAAATAAAAAAAAGACCAGGTCTATTTTTGCCTCATAAAACTGAGTTGGAATAGACACCTCTGAAACACAGCCTAATAAAACCACTAGATATTAAAAGTAAAAAAAGTTCTCAAAGCTCTGGGGAACTGACCAGATTATTTAAAAAGACAAGACAATTAGGCTGGCTTTAGACCTTATCAGCAACATACAAAGAAAGGTATATGCATGGAACAGCATTGTAAATGCAAGTCAAGGATTTTCTATGCCAACCAAGTTTAATCAATTCTAATTTTATTTCTTCTGGGGGAGGCAGTGATATTTTTGTTATCTGTTTCTAAATTTTTTATTCATTTCTTTGTTTGAGGCTATTTAATTCAGAAGTATTTTGCTAGTTTCTTTTTGCTTTATAATTAGTTGTGGGGGAAGAATGTCCATGAGCCAATAGGTTTAGATTCTCATGTTCTGTTTTCTTTTTATAGTAATTTTATATGGGTATAGACTGCATTTTTTGGTCCATTTCTGTCCAAAGAGTAAAAGTTTTGGGTGGCTTAAAAAAAATTCTGTAGTTCAAGACAGTGCTCACTTCTGTCAGAATAGTGAAGTTCAGTGTCCTTTTTCACATATATTTATTTATTGGGGGGGGGAGTGTAGGGGAAAAATCTGATGTTTTATAGCTCTTTTGTTTCAGTAGGATATTCCTTAATTCCCCCTCTAACTTCCTTCTTTCCCTTCATTAACATATCTCCAAAGGGTACCTCCCTCTTTCTATTTGTCTCTTTCCCAGAAGTGATACATTTCCCAAACTGCCACCATAGGTCTCACATACTTTCAAGTCCTTTACCATTAGCTAGTACTGTGATCTATGGTATATCATTTGATAAATACAAAATTGCTTTCAGAAATGTTTGTATTTATGGTGAAGTTTTCTCTATTGGGGTTTTTGTCAGATTTAGGCCCTCAACTCCTCTATCCACTTTTCCACAAAGTTTTTCAAACCTCCCCAAGTCTAAAACATTAGATATAGTTCTGTTGGAATGTGATGTTTACTTCTTATTCAAAAACAATTTGAAGTTCTTATAGTATTCTTTTTCTCCTATTAAGGCTAGAAGTGTGGGTTAAGTATGGTTTTATTTACATTATTTCTTTTTTTAAAAACTTACATTATTTCTTAACCTGTATGGTTTTCTGGGGAAATGAGTGGACAAATTCTAACGCAGGAGGCCACTATTATCCTAAGAAAACCTGGAAATCCCTAAGATCTTCTTATTCCTATTGTTATTACTGATTGTGATTGTTGGTATTTTATGAACATTCTTAACACACTCCAGGAAATAAAGCAAAGGGATAAGTTTGTGGACAAGTCTTCCTTCTGAAGAAAAATCAAGTAATTTTCTTAAATCATCCAGGCATAGACAAACAGATTCAGAAATCAAAATCTCTCATATCCAATTACTAATCTAGTTATGGTAGAATTTGGTATGATACACTATAGCTTACAGTTTTGTGGTAATTAGAAGTCCTTTATGCTCATATATAAATAACATCTACCTTGAGCTAAAACAAAAGATAATGTGTTTAGCTTAGAAAGTTATATAAAAGAGACAAACTAGAATAGAATCCATGTTCTTTGCTATTTTTGTCTTTATGATAATAATGCAATAACATGACAGAGTGATTTTCCCATCTTGGGCTCTAGTAAAGTTCATTCATGCATCTATCCAACATTTATTGAGGACCACTAAATTGCCAAATAATAGGGATAATAACTAAGACACAGTCCCTACCTCACAGAAAGTAGAGGAATATAAGAAAGTTGCAGATAGTTAAATACAGTACAGTGTCCTTTACAAAAAGTGCAAAAATATGCAAACCATACTATATATAATTTTAACAATACATATATATGTAGTATAATACAAAAAATGTGGAAAAATGATAATCAAATTTAGTATAGAGGTTAACTCTGAGAGGTTGAGCTGGGAGAATGAGGGAAATAAAATCAGGTAGGAAAACAAATTTATCTACAGTTTATAGTTTATCTACAGTTTATAGTTTATTTCTTTAAAAAATAAACTATTTCTTTATAGTTTATTTCTTTAAAAAAGAAAAAGTAAGATCTGAAACAAATATTGCAAAGTGCTAAGATCTGACAAAGCTTGATAAGAAACATGGGTGCATTTGTTATATTATCTCTATTATTTTCTGTATGCTTGAAATATTTCATGATTTAAAAATATATATATATCTTTATTGATTTCAGAGAGAGGAAGGGAGCATGAGAGAGAGAGATAGAAACATCAATGATGAGAGAGTCATTGATTGGCTGCCTCCTGCCCCCCCCCCCCACTGGGGATCGGGCCTGCAACTGGGGCATGTGTGTCCTGACCAGGAATCGAACTTCGATCTCCTGGACAATAGGTTGATGTTCAACCTCCAAGTCATGCCAGCCGGGCAAAATATTTCATGATTTAAAAAAAAATGCATCCAATTCACTGGCAAGATTCATGGAGTTTTAATTCAGAAGTTTCTGAATATGTTCAAGTTATGTAATAAACAACACAAAATTGAGAACCAATATTAGGAATGAATGAGAAAAACAGCCTGAATACTGTATATCATTTTTAGATGAAGTATTATACATACCTGTGAGTGCTAAATAAGAAGCAATGTACCGCTTTTCCAGTCCATCTCTAATACTCTGAATTGCACCAAAAATTGGAGGTATAATCATAATCAGGTTACTCACTGTATTCCCTATAGGAGAAAAATACAAGAAGATAACTAGGTTAATCAATACTACTTTAAATAAAGATATATGCACTTGGCCCTTAACAAAAATTAAACAGATAACTTCTCAGAAAGATTTTAGAATGATATTTACAAGGTGTTAAAAGAAAATTCTCTACTCAACAAAAATTTCTTACAAGAACCCAAGTAAAATAAAGATACCTTCAGACAAATGAAACTAAGAACTGTTAACCTGAACATCCACTAAATAAAATTGTAAATTCTAAAGGTAAAAAGAAAAAGTATCTCAGAAAAACCCCCTCAAAGATACAGCAAAAAATGAGTTGGAGAAAGCAGCCTACACCAATACCACACAAAGGGTGGCCCATGGATACCATATGACAAGATAAAATACAGAATTAAATTAATTTTGTCTACTGATCAAATAGCAACAAATCAGGATTTGCATTCCTTTTTAAAATTTCATTTTTGTGGCAATGTTTTTAGTTTCTAGTTTCTATGTTTCTAGTAAAATATGAAAGGCAACGAATCTTAATCTGATCTTTGTTCTTGTCTTTTTAAAATATTTTTTTTAATTAACTTTAGAGAGAGAGGAAAGGAGGCGGGGGGGGGGAGAAACATTGATGATCGGCTTCCTCTAGTACGCACCCTGACCAGGTACCAAACCTGAAACTTGGGCATATGCTGTGACTGGGAATTGAACCGGCCATAATGCTCAACCAACTGAGCAACACAGGCCAAGGGCTGTTTTGGTCTTTACAAAAAGAGAGCTCAAACATGAATAGCAAAGAAACAAACAACAAAAAAAACCTAACAGCAGAAATAAATAGTAAAATGGAGAAATAAACTATTTTATAAATTGGTTGTGTGTAGAATAAAGTGGCACAATACATTCAAAATTTCAAACAAATGACTTTCAACATTGGAGCTGATGTTAGGACATAATATATCAGCTAATGGACATATATAGAACACTTTACCCTTCAACTACAGCATATACATTCTTCTTAAGTGCACATGGAACATTTTCCAGGATAGACCATATATTAGGCCATAAATTAAGTCTCAACAGACTTAAAAAGACAGATATTATATAAAGTATCTCCTCCAACCACAACAAAATAAAGTTAGAAATAAATAACAGAAGGAAAACTGGAAACTTTCACAAACTTATGGAAATTAAATACCACATTTTTAAAACAACCAATGGATCAAAGAAGAAATCTCAAAGGAAATTAGAAAATACTTAGAGATTAAAATGAATACGCAACATAACAACATTAATAGAACACAACAAAAGCAGTGCTAAAGGGAAATTTTATAGCTGTAAACATGTAAAAAACAGGGATCTTCAAGTTGATTTGAAAGAATGCTACTTAGTGATGTGAAAATTTACAACACACTGGTACAGATAAATACATAACCAAATTCAGAACACTCTAATACTATAATATGATGTTGTATTAATCACTCTAAAACAAAGGTAAAAGGAAAAAAGTATTAAAAATAACTAGAGCTACAATAATTTGTTAATGAATACACACACACAAAAACAGGAAAATTGTAATATCAAAAACCTAAAGGGGAGAGTAAAGGTTAGAGTTTTAGTATGGGAAGTTATCAGCATAGAAGAAACTGTTCTATGTAAGCCTCATGGCAACCACAAAGCAAAAACCTACAGGAGATACACAAAAATTAAGAGAAGGGAAGCAAAGCCTATCACTACAGAAAATCATCAATTCACAAAGGAATACAGCAGGAGAGGAAGAAAGGAATAAGAGAACTACAGAACAGCAAGAAAGGCATTAGTAGTCCATGGTAGGCTATTAATAATTACTCTAAATGTAAATGGATTAAGTTCTCTAAGAGATTCACTTCAGCTTCAAGGATACACATAGGCTTAAAGTGAAGTGATGAAAAAAGATATTCCATGCAAGTGAAAACCAAGAGAGCAAGGGGAGCTACTCTTTATCAGACGAAATAGACTTTAAGCCAAAAACTGTAACAAGAGACAAAGATCATTATGTAATAATGAAAGGTTAATTCATCAAGAGAACATAGCAATTATAAATATATATGCACCCAACATCAGAGCACCTAAACACAGTAAGCAAATACAGTTCTGAAGAAGGAAATAAACAATACAATAATAGTAGGGGACTTTAATACTCCACTTTCAACAATGGATAGATCATCCAGACAGAAAATCAATACAGTAGACACCCTAATGTTCCAAGATCCCCTGAAATCTCACATAGTACTGAACCATATACTATATTTTTTTCTATACATACATACCTATGATAAAGTTTACAGCTTCTCTTTAGCATATCCAAATTGCTAGCATCACTACTTTTGTGCTTTGGAACCACTATTAAGTAAAATAAAGGTTACTTGAACACAAACACTGTAATATCCTAACAGTCAATCTAATAACTAAAACCGTTACTAAGTGACTAATCAGTGAGTAGAGTACACAGTGTGGATATGCTGAGCAAAGGGATGATTCACAGAACAGAGCAGAACAGCACTGAATTTAGAACTTATGAACTATTTCTGGAATTTTCCATTAATATTTTCAGGCCAAAGTTGACTGCAATTCTAAAACTGTGGAAAGCAAAACCACAAATAAGGGGAAACTACTGTACAGAAAAGCTGGATTTCAACTACACTTGAGACCAAATGAATCTAACAGGTCCTCCCCAGCAGGGATTCATCACCTTGCACTCATGGTAACCCTCCATTACTGTATTCTTGACAGTTTCATTGCATCTGTACGTGCATGGACAGAGTGACTTCATCCACTTTCCTCTTGATAGCCATTTCCAGAATTATGCTTTTTATACTTCTTAACAACAATTTTATATATATGTAAAACTCACGAGTATATGCCTACAAATAGAAATTCAAGGGTATTCAATTTGATAAATTTCAGGGCAAATATTACAACAGAGTTAAACCTATATTCCTTCTACCGTATCACACTCTTTTTTTAATCTCTTCCATTTCCCCCCATACCCATATTATATTTCCCTCAGAATGGATCACCATTGTGTCACATTCTAATCAGTTTATCTTTTTTCTAAGATAAGGACTTTTCCTGTCCTAACACATTTATATTTTTATAAATGTGGAAGCACACGCTTTGTTCTTCTGCCTTTCCTCAGATTATTTATCAATCAGGATGGCGCACACTGTTACTTTTTTAGCATATTAATTTTTAGCTCCTGGACATCCAAGTTTTCTCAGAGCCCCCTACGCTCACCCCTTCCCTCACACTGTATAAAGACCTCTACCCTTCCAGAGGACAGCTTGCTCAAGACAGCACCATGGTCTAGCCACTGTGTAAATCAGCACACTCAAGAAATGACGATTCATATGCCATTATACAGAGAGGGGTACCTCAGTAACACTGTTGGTAACACAGCACCACTCCTGGAATTTTCTGGAAGCATTTCTCTGTATGTGCTGGGTTTTGCTGTTATCTTTGTACTCAATTCTTAAGTGGGCAGTGGTGTTTAGTGCTTAAGAACATGTGATCACACTGTAGGCCCAGGTTCAAATCTTGGCTCTCAAATTTACTTTCTGTTTGAACTTGTATATACAACCCCCCTGGGCCTATTGTTTTAGCTGAAAAATTGTGATAATTTACCTCAAGAATATTTCAGTATGTTAATGATGTTAGATAGCTTAGAACATTGCATGGCATATAGTAAGGACAGAAAGGTTACCTTTGTTTACTAAGATTTTTAAACTTTCTCTTATGTTTAATATGTGATTGAACTTTGCCTGCATTATATTTTGCCTGTATTCATTTTGTAATTTGTTTCATATCAATATTGTCTCAGACCTCAGTTAATAAATGTTCAAAGCACACATTCTGTAGTACATGTACTTTGTGACTGCAGAATTGCATAATTAAAGGCTGCTCCATAGTTAGAAAATTGGCTCTTTATGATTTTTACTTAACAGCAGGCATGAAATCATAATTCTGGTTTCTGATTGCCTTCCCCAATTCTTAAGTCTTTAATATATTATGTGTTTATCTGAAGTGGATATATCAAAAGTCAATGATTCTTAACATATTTTCTAATTCTCATATTATGTACTCCAGGAATAAAAGTCCTTTCATTTGTTCTGAAGGAAATCTTTAAAATTTCACAGCTTAAAATTATTTAGAATTGTGTTTACTTATTTACCTTCTGGATTTTTATGAGTTCCTAAAATGTTTGATTTATTGTTATTGTGATTTACAGATAATGATTTTTGAATATGTTACAACTCTCATGCATCAATGGTTAACGTTGCAAATGCTTATTCTACATGAGTATAGTTTTTATTATAGGAATTCAAAACAATATTTTGTTATTCTTACAATGGTGTTTTGTCAAGTTCTTATCTTCTCAGTATAGTTTTTATTTTGTAATTGTGTGTTAACATTTATTTATCATATTAGGTAAGTTTGTAGAGATTATTTTCGACTATCTTATTTAGTGCTGTGCTTTAGTCTTATGTGGGCATAATAATTATACAGTAAATATGCATTAATACGGCTTTTCCTTTAAAAAGAAGTATAGGAAAGAAAGGGGAAAAAGATACAGTGGCAAGATGTTTGTACTTCAGCCTGACAGTAGGTGGAGCCAGTGTGTTCAAGAGTCTTAGGTCTCCTAAGTACGGCAGAATATACAAAACCCTGGGGCAACTGGGCAGACAATTTAGAGCTCAGTTGTATTTACAATTGTATAACCACGGCCCAGAACTAAGGATAAAAAATAGAAGCATTAAAACCTGATGAAGCTAAAAACAAAAGTGATTTATATAGTGTTTCATGAGGAATCCTCCTGCACACAGCAAGCAAATGAGCTAGCTGAAAATAATACAGTAACTGGCTTAGTCTTAAAGAAACTCAGCACTTTCCCCACAGCATTTTTCAAATAATGCTAAAGACCCCAGAACTTCAGAAGAAGACAGGGAGATCATCTAACTTAATCTCCTCAGTTTATAGT